TTCATCTTGCCGGTCATGTGAGGTTCCCCCCAGCTGTCTGAAGTGTTCTCCAATAGAAGACTTCAGTCTTTTAAAAACAGTAATTTTTGTAACAATGGTAATTACTTTAATTGGAGTTCTTTAAAGGTAGATCCTTCTCGCCCGCCTCCTAAGACGCAAATCACGCTCTGATCTATTGCATTATTCTAAATCAATGTGGTGTTACTCCCTCTTCATATCCATTAATGGGCGTTGTAGGAGGGGAATCAAAAAACTTCCAGAAGCCACTACTGTTCAGTCTAGAATAATTACAAATAATTTTTCTTTGTTCCCAGGTCATGGTGGATAATCAGCTTTCAGCATAGAAAAATACGCGCATTGGATGTGGCTGGGCTCCCAGCGAGGCTTTCACGGAGGATTAGACTCCCACGTCCCAGTGGGCTCCATCTCGTCGCCTGCTCCCACAGAATTGATTTGGCTGTCACGTTTCAGGGAGCCCTGGGCTGTTATTCATTGACAGTGGTGAGTCCTGGATGGGGTTGTGACCCCCAAACAATCACATTCTTTGGAATAGTGGTTGAGCTGCTTGACACACCCTAGGAAGGAGGCAAAATATCCCAACCTTCACCCGGTGTATGGGTCAAGTGAGGGACACAGGAGCCAGACGGAGGGAGCCACGTGGCTGCGGTTGGGGAGCTCAAGGTGACATTCCGAGAACCAGCCTTTTCCCCACGCCCCTCAGGACAACTTTCTTTTCTTTCATTTTTTATGTGATGTGGGGGGCAGTAATGGGCACTTTTTGGTTCTCGGGGTTCTATTCCAGGCTGTGATTTCCCGGTCGGTGTTGGATATACCCACCACAGGTATCTGGACAGAGGGAAACTGGGACCACTGAACTTTGCCTCTAAACTTTGCCTGGAGCGTGATGAGCTCAAGCAAGAAAGTTGCATTCTGGGTTCTCATTCACTTAGGTTTTCTGTCTTTGCCCCTTGTCCACATTTTAGAAATATAATAAAACAAATGTTTCCTCCATAACTTTCTTTCTCTCTCTCTCTCTCTCTCTCTCTCTCTCTCTCTCTCTCCATCCTCTATCTAACACCTATCTATCTGTCTATCTATCCATCCATCCATCCATTGTAGGGGAGGAAAAATTCTCCTTTCCCCTTTTTGGGTCTCAGCTGGGTATAAGAATAAAATGGATGTAAGGCAGATTAACAGGAGAAATTCTGAGATGCTTGTTAATTTGTGAGCTGTTAAGTTGGATGCCCTCCCTGCCCGGATTCCAGTCCTTCTGAGCCTGGGTTGGGGGTTGGGATGTCTCATGCACGCTCTGTACCTGAGTTTCCACCCCTCCCTCAGGCTCCTGTCCTGACCAACATGTTGGTGTTCCAGGCACAGAGCAGGCTTTTCCCTAAACAGCAACAGAAACAGACTGTGTGGAGGAGGAGCGGAGAAAGAAGGAGGGGTGGGGAGGACGTGCAGCCCGGGCACCTGAGAGGCCGACTGGATGTGGCTCCCCCTGGAGTCCTCCGCAGGGCTCCTCACCTAGCCTCCAGGTGGCCTCCGTGAAGGCGTTGTGCGTGTCCCTGATCAGGGTCCTACCCAGCTGCTGGGAGCCCAGATAGAGGCCGCCCCTCCACCACCCCCATCTTTGCTTCCTGTCTGGAGACCAGCCTTACAGGATGACTGGAACAGAATACGCCCGTGTTGGAGAGTTACCCCCTTAGCCTCAGGAGTGCTCCCTGGCCATCTGGTCCCTGGCGAGGCTGGTCCATCAGACCATGGCTGTCCAGCACGAGCACTCACCAAACCTCAGCCTGAAGCAACAAGCTGGAAGCCACAGCACCCTGAAGGCCCCCCTGGGGCCCTGCTCTGGATCCCCCTCCTCCCCTGGGGTAGCGTTCTCCCGCCCAGCCTGGCCTGCTGCAGACGCCACCCCCAGGCTTCGGGGACAGCCACTACCAGCCCATTCCTGAGCCCCTAGCCACCAACTAATTTGTTTTTAGAAACAGTTCTGATTCTGCCATTTACTCGGCACAGACTATGGAGCTCCTCAGCCCCATACGTCTGCACTGGGGCCACCAGACTCCACAAGAACCATGTGAGTATTGGTTTCATATTTAGTAATTTATTCACTTAGTGGTTCTTCCCAAAACAAAGAATCTGCCCCAAAGGTGAATTTGATTTCTTTTTATTAGATAAATACTTCTTGCACATTTAAAATGATTTTAAAAAGGCAACAAACAAACAAAACCCTCAAAATCTTAGTTAGGGCCTGGGATGCTATTTGGGCATCCTGCCCACCTGTCCTTCCCGCCTACCTTTCTACCATCTAACAACCCATCGTCCTGCCAGCTGCTTTGTGACAGGTCCTTATAGGCTGTCCTGCTGTTTGCCCTGGGACTGCTCTGACCCCATGCGCTACTCCAGCCATGTTTGCCGCCTCTTCATCATTCATTTCTGTCCTCTCTGAGTGGAGGTGAGGGAGGTCATGCCCGGGTGTAGCCCAGGCGGCAGCAGTTGTCAGGGCCCCCTCTTTTGGAAGCAAGTCAGCCACGTGGGAGGGAATTCCCTTTCTCAGTTTCTGGTTCATATGCTTGTTAAGATGAAAATGAGGGGAAAAGGTGATTGACATGTCATTTTAGTGTCAAAGGGGCATCCTTTGATAGGTCTGCCCAGGGATTATTTAATTACCTATGACAGTGGTTCGCAATCCTGGGGCCCTCGGGGACATTTGCAATGTCTGGAGACATTTTTGATGGTCGTGACTGGTGGGGAGGAAGGGGTGCTACTGACAACTAGTGGACAAAGGCCTGGGATGCTGCCAAACCTGCCCCAAAGCACAGAGCAGCCCCTCACATCACAGAATTATTCCGCTCCCGGCGCTGTTGCTTAGAGGTCCTAGAAGTTCTGTGCGAACTTAGATTTTTGACTGATGGAGATGAACATACTTTCTATCTGGAGGAAAAGATGACCCAAAGGTTGTGGTTTATTACCCTGTAGGACATTAACCAGTTTTTATTATATTATATTAACCTAACACTCCAATTCCAGCAGTTCTTCATTAAATTGCCAATAAATGTCAAGTTCCTCAAATAGAACTATATTTCTATTTCCATCATTAATTAACGAATTGAGTGAAATCTTTGACATGTGCTCATTCTAATCCTGTCACTGCTCTCTATTGCCAGGTAACAAATTACCCCCAAATTTAGTGGCTTAAATCCATAATAAACATTCATTATCTTACAGTTTCTGTTGGTCAGGAATTTAAGAGCATTTCAGTAGGATGACCTAGCTTAGGTGCTCTCATGACATTACAAACAACAGGTCAGCCAGGGCTGCAGCCCCTGAAGGAGGCTGGCGGGTCTGCTTCAAGATGGTCCCTCACAGGACTGTGAGCGGGAGGCCCCACTCCTCACACGTGGGCCTCTCCACAGACCTGCTTGAGTATGTGATGGGTTCACTCAGTGAGATAGACCACCGACTCAGAATTTAAATTTAAAAGCCTTTATTAAGCTGGCCAGCTGACTACAGCGCGTCCCTCCAGTAGGGGCTTCGCAGCCTGCAGTGCTGACCGAGGGTACAGCAAAGCCTTTTATCTGCAACACTACAAAGCATGCAGGGTTCACACAAAGTTTACAAGTACGAATGGGGAGGTAAACGGAGTCACACCTGGCTGGGTTGAATCATAATACATTGTTTTTCTAAGACAATCTAGTAATTTTTCTCTGCCACAATCCCGGACCCTAATACAATCGGTAACCTTTCCATGCCTCAGTCCCTCCCCCTAGCACATTCCATAAACCTTCCATGCCTCAGTCCCTCCCCCTAGCACATTCCATAAACCTTCCATGCCTCAGTCCCTCCCCCTAGCACAAGTATCCTCATGACATGGCAACTAGCTTCTCCCAGACCAAGTCACCCAAGGGAGAATGCGAGGAAGCCACAATATCTGACCTTAGAAGTCACATCCTTCTGTTCTTCAGCATCCTATTGGTTCCGTGGTTAATTCTAGTCTGTGCGGGAGGAGGACACAAAGGAGAGAATAGCAGAAGGTGGGGGTCACTAGGGGACATCTTGGAAACTGGCTACCACAGCCCTCCCTCTGTTGCCCAGGGACTCATGTCCTTCCCACACACGACGTGTGCTCAGCCTCTCCCAAAGCCCCCAAAAGTCTCACCCCAATATAATACCAGTTTGAGGTCCAGAATCTCATTACCCAAACCTGGCCCATATATTATTGCTGAAGCTCCCTAGGTGTGGCTCTTTGAGTCCTCAAATCCAGCTCTTTTTTATCAGAAATTTGTGAACTAGAGAGACAAGTTATCTGCCCCCTCCCCCCAACAATGTAGGACAAGCACAGGATAATTACTGTAGACCCTCCTGTTCCACAAGGGTGGAAATTAGGGATGCACTGGTCACTGGTTCATAGCAATTCTGAAATCCAGCTGAGTACAAACTGACAGTTCTTCAGAATAATTTGTCATGGTTCTCGGCTTCTCCGTGGACTTCTGTTTCTAGCCTTTGAGCTATCCTTCCTTTTTCTGTGTTTGTGCCATTTTCTCAGCCTGCTTCCTGCCTACAGAAGTTTTTGACTCTAAAAGCATCTTTTCTATTTGTGTTGTCTGTCGCTTTCACCACAAGCTGGCAATGTTTCTTCCAGTGTAACTTTCTTAAAAACCTTGGGCTGCCTCCATTAGGAAAAAGCTTCAGCGGCAAGTGGCTTTCATATAAGCCCTGCAGAGGAGAGCGTGGTTTAAGCTACACAGCCTGTGGCATTTGTTACTTATTATGACAGTCCAAGCAGACTGAGACCCAGTGGCACCCTTGGGTTCTTATTTAAACCAAGTTTTTCTGACAGTGCCATGTTCTTGATTTTTGCCTGGAAGCCCTTTCTTAATTTTAATATCATTTGCCATCTGGGGAGGTTAAGAATTTCCAGAAAGTTCTGGCTCTCTTGTGTTTAACAGTCCTTCCTTACCTATCTCTCTTTTCTCACCTTTACCAGCAGCAGTAAGAAGAAATCAGATGGCACCTTCAGTGCTCTGCTTGGACCCTCTCCATAGCCAAATCACCTTGTGCGTAAGGTACTCTTTTTACTTTCAGGCAACAGTGCGGGTCAACTTTCTGCCACTACTACACAACAGTGTCCATTGAGATTTTTCTTTTTCTTTTAAGCCTTTACCTGAGGTTTCCTCAATGACAATAATCTAATCTAATAATAGACAAACATGGTAATTGACCATACCTCCGCTACGCTTCCCATTGGCTAATAAGCAGGATATTCAAATTAACGCAACCAAGATGGTGGCTGGCAGCCATGCAGCTGAAGTGAGCAGGAGGCTTGATTGCTCCAGTGATGGAGGAAGCCAAGCTTCCTCCCAGCTGCGGCTGGGCTCTGAGCTCCACTCTAAGCAACAAAGTTGCAATTATAGAAGCTAAACAAACCCCAGATACCTGCTTTCAGCAGGCCCTGGCCTCGGAGCTGGAGCGGCAACAAAGTTTCAATTATAGAAGGTAAATAAATCCCAGAATAAAAAAAAAAAGAAAAAAAGGAGAGGCTGGGAGCTTCAGTCACCAGCCAGCCTGAAAACAGCCCTCAGCCCCTCATCCAGACTGGCCAGGCACCCCAGTGGGGACCCCCACCCTGAAGGGGGTGTGACCAGCTGCAAACAACCATCAGCCCCTCATCCAGGCTGGCCAGGCAACCAAGCAGGGCCCCCACCCTGATCCGGGACACCCTTCAGGGCAAACCAGCCGGCCCCCACCCGTGCACCAGGCCTCTATCCTATATAGTAAAAGGGTAATATGAAAACTGACCCTAACAGCAGAAAGACTGGGAATGACTGGTCACTATGACACACACTGACCACCAGGGGGCAGACGCTCAATGCAGGAGCTGCCCTCTGGTGGTCAGTGAGCTCCCACATGGGGGAGCTCTGCTCAGCCACAAGTCAGGCTGATGGCTGCCAGTACAGTGGTGGTGGTGGGAGCCTCTCCTGCCTCCTCAGCAGCTCTAAGGATGTCCAACTGCAGCTTAGGCCTGCTCCCTGCTGGCAAGTGGACATCCCCTGAGGGCTGCCAAGCTGCCAGAGGGATGTCTGATTGCCAGCTTAGGCCCAATCCCCTGGGGAGCGGGCCTAAGCCAGCAGGTGGTCATCCCCCGAGGGGTCCCAGACACTGCGAGAGGGCACAGGCCGGGCTGAGGGACCCCCCCCCCCCCCCCCAGTGCACAAATTTTTGTGCACCGGGCCTCTAGTCCTATATAATAAAAGGCTAATATGTAAATCAACCAAACAGCGGAACGAGCGGTTGCTGTGATGCACACTGACCACCAGGGGGCAGACTCTCAATGCAGGAGCTGCCCCCTGGTGGTCAGTGTGCTCCCACTGGGAGAGTGCCACTCAGCCAGAAGTCGAACTCATGGCTGGTGAGCACAGCTGCAATGACAGGAGCACTAAGGATGTCCCCAGAGCGGGCCTAAGCCATAAGTTGGACATCCCCTGAGGGCTCAGGCTGGGTTGAGGGACTCCCGCCCCCCGAGTGCATGAATTTCATGCATCGGGCCTCTAGTGTTTCTATAAACAGGTTAAAATGTACAACTTCCAGTTATGAAATAAATAAGTCTTGTACAGCATGGTGACTATAGTTAGCAGTACTATACTATATGTGGGAAAGCTGCTAAGAGAGTAGGTCTTAAAAGTTCCCATTATAAGAAAATAATTGTAACATGCACGGTTACAGATCTTAACTAGACCTATTGTAGTGATCATTTTGCAATATATACAAGTATTGAATATTATGTTGTACACCGAAACTAATATGTTATATGTCATCTATATCTCAAAGGAAAAAATAGTTTTTTTCAAGGCTCTTTAGTTTTCACAGAGACTTCCTCACAGTCCTTCCGCATCTGCTCACTTCAGGTTCCAAAGCCACAGGGAGGCTCTCCCCTCGGGTCCCCAAACTGTTCTGTCTGGAAACTTCCCTACAGAACGCCCTCCCATTCTCGCCCTGCAAAAGTCTCATTCCCTGGAAACGCTCTTCTTTTCCCTCTTTTCACGGAGAAAGGGGTGCACATGATTAGTCTGTTGGGTGTACTTTCGTCTTCTTGTTTTACACACATGTCACAACTCTAAACTCTTGGCCAAGAATTGAAGCGCCGGAAGTCCATGTCTAATGTGGATGTGGTGGTGGCGGCGGGGGGGGGGGGGGGAGTTGGGGGGGGGCCTGCCCAGGGGGAGTGTGGGAGCATTCCCATTGCTGAACACATCATACCACCTGTCATTCTAGGTGCTATGCCATTTCATTCCATCAGAGCCTCATGCAGAAGATATACTGAAGAGGACACAGAAAGGGTATGTAATTTTCTCAAGGTCACACATCTTGTGGCAGAGCCAAAGTTTGAAAACAAGTCTTTCTTGGAAGCCCGTGACATTTCTACCACATCAACAGCAGGTTGTGTAAAGGGGACCCCTCAGTGTTTGATGCGTGAATGAATGGATTCCTCTAAGTCGGCTCTGCCACCAGGTTTTAGGGCAGAAACAGCAGGGGGTTGTGGTGGAGGGATATAAACATACATTGCTGTCCGCTTGCGATGGAGGTCAGCTCAACACCAGTGACTGATGAGACCCACTGCATTGAGCAGACGTACCCTGGGGGAGGTGCACAGGGATCAACTCAGGTATGCCATCCCCATTCCTATGGGAACACGAGTCTGGGCATTTACAAGGAGCCTGTGACACCCCAGACACGGTGGCCGCCATCCCTCCACTCTGTCTCCGGGTCCCTTAGAGTCTCACAGACTGAGCCACCTTTGAGTATGGCCGTCAGAGGGAGCTGTTGCTGCCCCACCATGGCCCCTCCTGTGTGCAGCAGGGAATCGCTTGCTCTGGCCAGTCTCTGAGGGCAGCCTTGCCAGAGAAAGCCAGTGAGTTGAGTGTATGTATCGGCTCCAAGTGTATGTATCAGCTTCCTGCGGTTGTGGAAGGAGACAAGACAGCCTGCTCATTGCGGCAAATGAATCTAAGTTTTGCGGATACTGAAAAGGCACACATCTGCTTTGGAGTTGACTAGATCATGGCTAGATCATGGCTGGCTGTGAGACTTTCAGCAGGTGATTTAGCCTCCATATCCTCACCCACAAAATGGGAGGCCAGCCTCGCAGGAGTGTTGTGAGGGTTACATAGAAAGCATTTGGTGCCTGGAGGCGTTAAAACAAGTAAGTGGACTTATTTTGGAATAAGGGAGAAGGTTTTTATTTGGGAAAAGGGGGAGTTTTTCATGAGTGGGAAAAAATTAGATGGCTTATTTCTATCAGCAAATGTAAAAAAAGATATCACGGGACCCCCGAACTTCTCTGACTCCCCGCAAAAAACAATAGCCTCTCCTCTTCATCAGCTGATCCTGAGGCCATGCTGCTTATTTGGTTCATGATTTGGATTGAATGTTTTTGTCTCCCTAAAATTCACATGTTGAAATCCTGATCCCCAGTGTGATGATGTTTGGGAGTGAGGCCTTTGGGAGGTGAATAGGTCATGAGGGTGGAGACCTCATGAATGGGATTAGTGCCCTTATTAAAGAGGCTCCAGAGAGCCCCCTCCCCGTGGCTACCCTGTGAGGACCAGCAAAGGTGTCCATCTGCAAACAGGAAGTCGGACCTCAGCAGACAGGGAACCTGCTGGCCTCCACAACAGTGAGAAACGAATGCTGTTTAAGCCACCCAGCCTATGGTATTTTTGTTACAGCAGCCTGATTGGTCTAAGAAAGTCCACATGGCTCATTTGAACCCAGACATAGTAGTCCTGTGATTTAGAAGCAGTCACAGGCTTCATTCTTATTTTTGGAAAGGCTACACTGAATTTATTGTCTCTGTGCATCCGTTTCCTCACCCAGAAGGTGAAGGATTAGGCCTGTCCTCAAACGCACCCCTCTGAGGATGCCAGTCCATCATCCCAAGGGCACAACTGCCTTCCAACGCCTCCTGTCTTTTTTTCCTCTGCCCCGGAATTGCTATGTCTCCATCACCCAGCGTGGCACCGGCACATAAAAAGTGCTCAGGGGACCAAGAGCGACTGTCTAATAGGTTCATTTCTCATGCTGCCTTATTCCCACTTGCCACACTCTGCCTCCTTCCAGGGGCTTAATGGAGTCTCTGCCTAGCATCTTCCAAGTCCTGGCTTATGTGCATTTTTCAGCCCTGATATGTATGTTTGGACACTTGATTGGAAAGGTGTGCTTGCAGGTGAGAAGAAGACGAGGAAAAGAAAGACACCCCACCCCCCACTCCCAGGAAAACACCCTCAACTCGAATTCCACTACAAATTAGCCCTGAAGCTGGATGGAGCTCACAGCCTTGGCATGCGGTCCAGGGGAAGGGGCAGCATGGATGCCGCCTGGGTGTTGAGTGCTCCAGTGAAAACCAGCAGGGGGAGCGAGTCAGATGAATTCTGTCTGATCCAAGGCCTCGTTGTCATTCTTCCCAGTCACCGCTCAGAGGGCCGCAGGGGAAAGACTGTTTTTAAATCGAGGATGAAACCTGGTGCGAGCAGGCTGCAGGGTCTTCGTAGCGGCTCTCAGAGGAGAAACCAGCATTTAATGTCCGCCTTTCCACGTGGAAAGCCTTCCCACGTACACCACCGAATGCAGGGCCTGACACACGGGTCTCTCTGCCCCGAAGCGCTTGGTTGGGAGGCTGAATGTGAACTTGAACCTGGTAATTCAGGGTGATGTGTGTCTGCCTCCTTAGGCACAGACAGCTGTTCTCTCCCTCCCCAGAGCAGAGTGTCTGCAAGCCTACGAGTCATTCAATGAGGTCTCTATTCGGCCACCAAAAATTGGCATCGATTTTGTATCGCAACGCGTCCTCCCTGTTCAGCTGGCTCAGGGCTTGGGGGGACCCAGTGCCTGGAGGGCAGCTCCCCGGCTCATGTGAAATGCTGTCAGGCGGAGCGGCCTGTGTTTCTTTCCTCTAAGAGTCTGTTGATCCGTGTGCTTCCGGACGCGGCGATGTCTCAGCAGCAGCTTTGGGTTTTTATTTATTCATGTGTGCGTTCTCAGAGCCTGTGCCATTGCCAAAAGGTTTATGGCCTCTTAAAGTTTTGGAGCCTCTGCTTTTATGGCCGCTGTTTGTTGGAGAGAAGTGCCGTTTGGGGAAAAGATCGGTTTGCCTTCTGCCTGGATGATGGATGGAGGCTTAGCGGTTCCTCTTTTGTTCAGAGCTCTCGCAGCCTGGGCACACGCCGGGCAGCACCCCCGCTCCCCGAATGCTCGTTCTCTCCCGCGTCCATGCTTGCGCTCCACAGGACCTCCTCTGTGCGAGTCCAGGGCCGGGCGTGTGCTAATATCATGCTGCATCCTGTGTCCCGGAAGTTCTGATGCAACTGCGATGCAAACGTACGTGTCCTCCAAGCACAGGGCGCGCGCTCTGGAGCCCGGCCTCTCGAAGGTTAGACTGGAACCAGGTCTGTGGACAGCAGCTGCATAAGCATCAGGGTGGCCATTGTCAGGTGAAGGGAGCTCAGGGACGCTCCGTCCTGCCTGCCGAGCTTCACGCCAGCTGTGGTGACACAGAGCAGGAGCGAGGGGGAAACCTGCACCACTGGGACAGAGCTGGGCTGGGTTCTGCAGGAGACGTTCCCCTGTAGCCACAAACTGAAAACATAGGCCTTATCCCCTCCCACCCGGTGCCTCGTGCAGGAGACCAACGCAGAGCTCACCCAGGAGGCTTGATAGAGGAGAGCAGAGCACGGTCCTGGGCTTGGCCACAACCCTGACCCACAGGAGGCCGAACAGTGCGCCGGGGGCCACACAAACAGGCAGCCCACCCGCAGCAGACGCCTCTCAGACTCGCAGCCTCCAGAGCACTGGGGAAATGAATGTCTGTGGTTTAAACCACCCCGTGTCCATTTGGTATGACAGCGCTAGAGACTAATTCACCCCTAGTTCTCTTCTCCATTGTGGTTTCATTTTGAAAAACAAAAAAGAAACAAAAGACTAGAATCAATATTGCCCATGGACCTACCTGCGCTGGCAGCCCTTGCTTTTGTTATCTCAGCGGCTGTGTGAAGGGGAAAGTAGGCCATGGCCCCGACGTGTGGAAGCCCACAGAGCTCTGCCCTTCAAACAGGGCCTCCTGCAGCCCCTGTGGGGCATGCTTTCTTCTCACGCACATCGCGTGCACCACAATCAGATTAAAAAATGCCTTTGTGAGGGGCCTCTGCGGACCCCAGAAAGGATCACTCTTCCACCCAGGACAGCTCCTGCCAGCTCAGTTTGACCTCACTAAGCAGGCCCCCTTTTCTGCATCACCCTGACAGGTAGAGGTCTGATCTCAGGACCCTGGCCAGCGCCGTGGCCTGCCCTGTCCATATGGTGCTGATCCCACAGGCTGGTGCCTGTGCCAACACTCCTCTGCCTACAAAAGCATCTTAGACAGAGACACTACACATCAGATCTTGTCACATCACTCAGAGGAAGTGGTGGTGTTTGGGGTGCCCACGGCAGCGTGTGGGAGAAGGATCAGGGAACAGGCTGGCTGGAGAGGACGCCACACACCCTAAACCAGCCATCCTGCCCCTGGTCAGCCTGGCCCGGTCTGTGTCCTGGAATCCGGCCGCTCCAGTGGTGGAGAGAGCCCGGTGAGTGCAGTGGGATGCCAGTGGACAGACGGACAAGGATGCCTTCCTGGTCAAGAGATACCGATGAACCTCAGTGTAAGAAGTCAGTAAGTGGGATTAATAATAACCCAGGCTGCCCCCACAGGAGGGTATATTACCAGAAACCAAAATAGATGGGTATGATTTGCTACATAAATTCCAGGACTTTTTTTTTTTTTTACCCCTTTTTCCTTAAACTCTGAAATTGGGGCTGAATAAGCTGCTGGGACCAGGTGATGTTGAGGATTTCTTCAAAATAATGCACTCAGGCCCATTCAAACGTATTCTCCTCCCAGAGAGCACCTGCTGGCCTGCGGTGCTGCCGCAGGGGCCGCTGGGCGGGCGCTGCCACCTGGTCAGAAGGGTAGCTGGTCAGGGCGCTGTGTTCCTGGCTCCCGGGGGTCGCTCCCACCCAGGATGTAGATGTCTCAGCCTTGGAACAGACTGGCTCTTTAATTAACATCATCTTTGATATAAGTCCAAGCACCTTCTTTGGATAGCAACTGTCACCCATGTAACCTGTCAGTGACGAAAACCCCTGGGCCGGCTTGGGAAAATCTCACAATCTCATCAACCCAGCTTGGGTGTTTGTGGGTTTGCCCTGCAAAGGGGAGGTGATGGAGAGCGGAGGTGGGTGAGAATCCGCCCCAGAGTCCTTCAGGGCCAGCAGAATCGACGGCAAGGGTGTCAAGCATGGTGCG